AACTACAGGCGCCCGCTACCACGCCCGGCTAATTTTTGATTTATTGTAGAGATGAAGTCTCGCCAAGTTGCCCAGGTGGGTCACGAACCCTAAAATAAAATAAAAAAAAAAAGAAACCTGGGTTAAGGTTGAGGCTTCATGCTGGAAGTTGCCTCAGGTAGGTGGGTGAAAAGAAAAAAAAAAAGAAACTTGGGTTAAGAAGCCTGGTGGAACTTCAGATAAATACTTGGTCTCTGTTGTACTTCTGATAAATGAGATGGGATGGTGGAGAATGGAACTGGGGTTTGCCATAGTGGGATGGGCTTGAATTAGACAAAGGAGAGGAAGGTGAAGCGATGCCGGGTAAAACAACAGGGCTGAGTCCTTTCCTGTGTATCCTACTCCCCTTCCCTGATTTATTTCTCTCCATAGCAGTTATTCCTTCCTGACACATCCTAATATTTTTCTTGTTTGTTATTTATCTCCCCACCTAGAATGTAAGCTCCATACATTCGGTTTTGTTCACGGCTGTCTCTCCCGTTTTTGGAACCACAACTAGCACAAGGTACATGCTCAATATTTAGATACATATTTATACATATTTGTTGAATGAATGAGTGGATAGTCTCTCTAGCATAAAATCTTATTTATTTATTGATCAGTCTGATCACTTCTACCCTCAAACATGTTGAATTTATTTCTATGCTTGATAAATCCTTGTGCTATTCACCTGAGTAGAATTTTCTTTTTCGACTATCCAAATTCCATCCCATTTTGGGCCCTGGCCCATTGCTTTACTGTTTGGAAGCTTCCTCAGCATCCCAGGCCACAGTAATCACTAATCTCTCAGCTCTCCTGAGACTTCTGCTGTTGGCTCCACTCATCACAACCCCAGAGGGTGGTATGCATTGCTGTTCGATGTCTCCTTCTAACCCTGACCTCAGAAATTCACCTTCGCTCACTGTCAGTGTTGTACTCCTCAGCCCTCAACAGGTGTTGGCTTCAGATATGTGCATTTTGCTCATTCAAGCTTTATGTAATCATTCAACACATATTCATTTAAGTATCATGGGAAACAGAAATAAATTGGGTCCAATACAAGCCCTTAAGGAAATAATAGCCTTGTTTCAACTAGGGTAGAAACTAATGAGATTTAAACTTCTTGAAGGTAGAAACATTACAGATTGTGTGTGTGTGTGTGTGTGTATGTGTGTGTGTGTGTGTGTGTGTGTTCCCACCAAACCTCAAATAATACTAGGTACTTAGTGAGCTCAATAAACATACTGAATGATGGAAGAACTTTAGCATTGGCAAGAATTTTAATTATTCTAATCCAATCACCCCATTGTATGGGTGAGATACAAAAAAGAGTGGTTTATATCTTGCTTGCCAAATAGTTAACCAGGGGAGGATCTGGGCTGACAGAAACCAGGGTCCTTGACTCCCAGGTCAAATACATTTTTACTACATTTCAGTATCATTGTCAGAAAGACAGACTGTTTTATGTTAAAATAGTTGTAAAAATACAGATTGAGAGTCTAGTGGGCTAATATCGATAAAATGAGATATCTAATATGAATGTGCTTAATATTTCCTGGATGCTCTCTTTGGTTAGAATTAGAGAGTTTAAAGGATCCTATGGGAATAAATACATTGCACAAATGTAAAATTCTCTGTGATCACCAGTGTGTAGGACCTTGTCTCTGGCAACAACCTCAGCAGTCGCTGCCATTGCTCGAGATGTCTAGAAACACTATGGTGGCCCTAATTGACTGTTCCTGGCTGTGACTCTCTGCCCCAATCTCCTGCCTTATCCTCTTTGCTTCTGTTTAGTAAATAGGCGTTTTTTGGAGGTGAGAAACTAGAGCCTCAGGGGACCCAATTCCCTGCCTCCTTTTGTGCCATTGTTAGATTATCACAACAGCAAACCCAAGAATCTTAGTAATTTTGATTTGCATTCTCAGTCCCCCCTAGAATGAGGATCTAGAATTCTCAGCAATGCTAAGTCCTCATTCATTCTATATTTCTTTTAGATTCCAGGTGGTGTGTCAGCTGGCAGATGCAGAAGGAAAGGTTTGTGACAGAGAGATTTTCTTCCAAGGTAGCTTAAGAGAAGGGTTTAGAAGTAGATTTCCCTATCATTAAAAACTGACTAATTTTGAGCTCTAGGTGAGTTACAGTATCTCTTTGGATGTATTTAATCATGGGAATCTTGTGTGAATAAAACTAATGGAAGACTAAATATATCTGCAGATATAAATTCAAAAATAAAGTATTGCTGGGAGCTGTATGCTTGCCATTAAAGAGTAGAATTAAAAATTATTTGCTGACCACAGAGACCTGAGAGTAGCAGGTGAAGGAGAATTCTGAGTGTGGAACTTGCAACCTAGAGAAATGTGGTATTCTTTTTACTTTTTCCCCAGTGGTTGTCACATACTATGTGACAAGTAAAGATCGAGTTCCGTCTGGAGACACAGCATTTCCCAAAGCTGTTAGGGAGATGACTTGCATTGATTTAGGATAAGTCGGTGTTCTTCCTCCTTTTATTCAATGATTGGAAAATGTTCTGTAATTTTTGTCTTCACAGATTTATTGTTATTTTCCATGAACAATAACCCATTAAGTCGGATTGGGTCTAATATTTTAAGAGGCCCCAGCAGTGTTTCAGAGATAGAAAATTTCATCACTCAAGAGCATTTGAGGCTGCACCAGATTTGAAACTTACAAGTCAGGAACAATCAAAGGGTGTGCAGTCACTCAGGGGAGGTGCTGATTTGGAAGCATGATTTATGCATGGGTGTTCCTACCTGGCATGTGGATAGGTGTTCTGGGGCAAACTTCATCCTTTTATTTTTTTAAGTACACTGTGCCAATCTGTAGGTAGTTTCTTTTCCAGATTCAGGGTACCTGGCAGCACTTGGGCTGGTGACTTGCTCATGGCCACAGAAGCCAACCCACGATCCTAGGTACGTTAGTGATGATGGCGAGATGAGAAGAGGGAGGTGCCTTGTACATTGAGCATCTCACCTCCCAGCATGTAATCAGCAGCAGCCTTGTACCACTGGTTTTTTTAAAATCGAGCGCTGGCAATTCCATGTTAATTAAGGGCTATTTACTTTTTTCCTACTGCACTCTTCCAAGTGTTCAACCAGATTACACACAATTGCAATTAACAGTCTGTAAACTGTCTTTCTAAACCCAAGAAGATGGGTCTTTGCTATTGCTCGAAGGCTGTAGAAGCACTCTAGATTTTAGTTCTTGGATGAGCTAGAACAGATCAGTAACTCTATAAATAAAGTGAAGCAAGTTGCTTCATCTCAACTGGTCTTTTGTAGATGTTTATGATTCTTTCTTACATTATTAGAAGATATGGCTGAGTTGGAGGACAGGAGAGGGGCATACTTACAGCACATTGTTGACTGAGTAAGAGGCAAGCAGGTACCTTTATCTTTATGGTACTTGGTGAAGCACTAAAGGCTGTGAAATTAATAAAAACTGGTTGCCTATTTCAACCATCTAAAATCTGGATCTAGGTCTAACCCAGACGCGGTTTGAAGTAAGGAGGGAAGTCATCTATTGTGACGTTGTTACTCATCCCCATCTTTCTTTCTTACACTTGTCAACACAAGACTCACTTGTTTGAACCTGGGATTCTGGGTCAAACTGCACCCACATATTTCCACAGGACACGTTCAAGTCCTTGCATGGCTGCACCAAACGGACGTCCCAACTGTTCCAAGAATGAGAATGATTTAGAATGGACCAAAGCGCCTGGATTTTCCTCTCTCTACAGCAAGGTCAACCCTGAGTGAAGACACAGAACCCGAAGTCTGTAAATCCTAGCTTTGGCTCTGCAGCTTCTCTGAGGTTGAAATAATTTATGAAACTAAAAAAAGGACAATGTCACCCTGTAAAGAATTAAAGTTGTACTGATTGTGTCTGTTGGTATTTCATTCATCACTGAGATATGTATTTCCCTAAGTCAGGGTGGGAAGTTTGCCTAAGTGTGTGTGTGTGTGTGTGTGTGTGTGTGTGTGTGTGTGTGTGTGTGTGTGTGTGTTGGGGGGGGTTGTGGGAAAGATGCTGATTGGCAGAGGAGTGGTGAAGGGTTTGCTGGGGTGAAAGTGGAGGGACCGACTTGCGAGCTGTCTTCAAGAGGCATGAATGCAAAGTATGAGCTTTTGCTGTTTGTTTTTTTCTTGCAGATACCTTGACTATGAATAATAGTTTCAATAGGAAGACAAGAATGGGTTCTGACAGGAAGGTTGGGAGCTGTGACAGGCAGAAGAAAAATGAAGCCAAACAGCACAGAGATGTGTCATCACTGCTGGGTTTTGCCTTGATCTACATTCAGTAGATACTTTACAGAAAGCTGGGCACTCATTCAAGAAACAGCATGTACCGTCCGACTTTGAAGTAATGGATGAACTTTCATGTGCAGTATATGGAAATGAGTTTTACTACTTTCTTCCCACACTCTAAATTTATTAACTCATCCATCCACTCAGCAGTCCTTTATCGAGAGCTCACTATTGGTTAGGCACGGTGGTAGGTGCGGGCTATCAATTGCATATTTCCTAGAAATTTTGAATTAAAGAACAACTGGCTTTTATTTTTAAATTTGTTTTGGTTTTATGGCACATGCTAAAGGCTTCCAACCAGGAATCCCTGAATGAATAGAAAAGGTAGAGATAATTGTGATTAATTAATAGACTTTATAGCTTTTAAGATCCATATTTCCGTGGACCTGTAAAGGGACTGCCTTGCCTTACTCACTGTTTGAAATAATAAGTCTTGTTGCTGCAAGTCGACTATGAATAAAGATAAGACACCGATTGACTCCAGAGATGCTGAATTGTTGCTCGGAAGTAAAGGTAAATAGCCTCAGTGTGCTTTCCCTTTTGTATAACCTGCAGTATTCACAGCAAGTAAATTCTGTTTTTCCGTATGGATTTTGTGTCTCTTACTATTTGCTGTGTAATGCTACATAATACCTGTATAAACTCACAACCGTGAATGTGGGAGACACGAGAGGAAAAGGACTGTAGATCAAAGAAAAAGCTTTGAGACAAGACAGAAGGAAAGTCATTGACAAAAAACATGGGAGAAGTATGTGTTATTGGGTGGGACAGTGGAGGAGGAGAAACAACACTGTGGCCATCGGTGAAAAGAATTATGACTAAGTCACCCTTCTAATGGGGACAATGAAAGAAGTGTAGGTGATGCGGGCTTCCAGCAGAGAAGAAGCAAGATGAGCTTGAGTATGTAGGTGACCTGTGCCCTTCTAGGATCTGGGAAGGAAAAAGATAAGAAGCAAAAGCATGGAACCAACTGCGATGCCCATTGAAAGAGGACTGGATTAAAAAAATGTGGTATATAGACACAATGGAATATTACACAGCCAAAAAGAAGGACAAAATTATGAACTTCGCAGCAACTTGGATGGACTTAGGGTCTATAATACTGACTGATTTATCACAGAAACAAATAACTGAGTACCCCATGTTCTCACTCATAAGCAGACCCTGAACAATTATCATAATAATAAGAAAGGGATGAGCAGTAGTGGGAAATTGCCGGGGGGTGCAGGGGAAACACCTCATTAACAAGGGTACCTGCATAATGAACATTTGTATACCTAACCCTGAATTGTACCCCACATCTTTAAAATAAAAAATTAAAAAAAGAAAAAAAAAGATTAGAATGTGAGCAATTGAAGCTAGAGTCAGTGTTAGTGAAGAGGAAGGATAGTGGTACAGTTGAGGGGGTTGGGAAAGGTTTTCCTGGCCACCGCTATGGCCTAGTGTATTCTGTGCTTGAGATTGTCTTGTGGATAGAGAAGGCCAGCTACCCTATGATGTGGCTAAGACAAGTGCGGCAGAGGATTGAAGATATAATTTGCAGTGATGTCCCAGGAGAGCTGGGAGGCTGAATACAGGAGTACCCAGATCTTGTGTGTTTGTCAGAAAAAAGAGGAATGAATCACTAGTTGTAGCAAAAAAGAGTATACGTATACACTAAGATTGCTTGAGACATTTTAGCATCTACATGCAGACTATTGCTCAATTTTGATTTATGTGATAATTTGGAATTTTAATTAAACACCTAACTAAAGCTTTGTGAATAAAAGCTTCCTGGTAGGAGGACTTGTCCCATGTTTTAAATGTTTCCCAGTGCTGGAAAATGGAAATTTCCAGCTGGCAGCATTTTGTAATACTGACTGCCCAGAGATATTAGTGTAACAAATACGGTGATTTAGGTTTTATTCTGGAATTACACATTCCCCTTCTCCCTGGAACTGTCAGCCTAATTGTTTCTAACTGCTCAAGGTCTAGTTTCATAGAAGCTGAGCAGCAGCATAGTCTGTATAAGAACAAAGCATTCTGGAGAAATCTAATGTGAGCTCTTTCATTCCTCCTATATTTGAACCTTGGAGAATCAGAAAAAAAGATCTCGTAGTTTGGAATAAACAATCAATTCTCAAATGAAGCGTATAGTTATTTGAAAAACTGTCCTTCAGAGGAGTATGTTAATGTCTTGGGCCATCTCTCGACTGCTGGTGCCATAGTGTTGTAATAGTAACCATAACACAGCCAACCAGGGCTTGTCTGAACACAATCCCACGACGGCAGGAGCTGCAGATATACAGAAGCCAAGGAAGACTCAGGAAGACCAACTTGCGGCGGAAGATGAATGCACTCCCAGGAATGCTGGGATTGGGAGAAATAGCCAATACCAGTAGAAGACAGAAAAAAAAGGCCATTAGCCCATTCTGAATGATGGGGGAAGAGACAAGCAAAGGGTAGAAGTGAAAAAAGAGAACCACCACCAAATTGAAAATAAAACCTCTATGGCAAAAGCTAGATTGGTGAATGACCTTTAGCTGTGGAAAGGTAGTATTCCAATGAAGCATGAATTGAAAGAATTTCTTCTGAGGGCTAATTTACATTTTTTCTTTTCAATGTATTTTAGCAGGTGTTTGGTTCTACATGGTTAGTTTCTTTATCTCTTTGAAAAAGAAAAATGAATCTGCTTGACACAACTGGATTAAAAGCAGTCAGTCAGGGGATTATAATTAAGGCCAGATCAAGCCTTGTTAGTAAGGGGCATTTGGGGGCTTGCCCTGAGGTAATATTTTATGAATTGACTGTGAGGGGATTTCCCTCTCAAGCTGAGCATGGCTGACACTGAACTTGCTTCAGGGGAACAGACCTTTCTAAGGGGCAATGAGGACATTTGTCTGATACAGCCCAGTGGTACTGAACTGGAAGGTATTTATAGCTAACAGAAAACCTCTCCAAAGATATTCATGTCCTAATCCAAGGAACCTGTGAATATGTTACCTTACATGTCAAAAAGGAACTTTGAAAATGTGATCCAGGTTAAGGACCTTGGGGAGTTTGTCCTGCTTTTTCTGGGTGGGTCCAATCTAATCACACGAGTCCTTAAAGGAGGAGAACCTTTGCTAGCTGGGTCAGAGAGATGGGATGATGGAAACAGTCTTAGAGTGACTCAGTGTAAGAAGAACTTGACCTGTTGTTCCTGGCTTTGACAGTGGAGGAAGGGGCCAGGAGTCAAAGAATGTGGGTAGCTTCTTGAAGGTGGAAAAGTCAAGGAAACAAATTCTCCCTCGGCGCCTCCAGAAAGGAGCTCAACCCTGCTGACACACCTTGATTTCAATTCAGGGAGACCCATATTTGAACTTCTGACCTCCAAAACCATAAGATAATAACTCTGTGTTGTTTTAAACTACTGTGTGATAATTTGTTATAGCAGCAAAATAAAACTAATAGAATGTTGCATTATGCCAATATCATTTCTTTATTGTCTATTGCTAGTTTGTTTTATGAATTTTGTGTAAATAATAAGGCTATAATGTTAGATTAGCTCCCTAATAAAAATCTTGAACATAAACCATGACTTTAAAGACAAAATTAAGTAAATAAACATACCGGTAAATATATTAACACATTAATTAATATATTCACTTTTTTTCTTACTCACAAGTACCTTTTGAGCTCCTATTATCTGCCAAACATTTTCCTAAAATTCTTGGGGATATAAGCTGTACAAATGATGACTAGTTAATAGCAATGTATCATATTCTTGAAAGTTGCTTCTTAGAAGAGTAGATTTTAAGTGCTCTCACCACAAATAATGATAAAGTGAAGTAATACATATGTTAACTAGCTCCATTTAGCCATTCCACAATATATACATATTTCAGAACATCATTATTGTACAAGGATAAATATATGCAATTTTTATCTGTCAATTAAATAACCCTCAATGAAGAGAGATTCTCTTCTGCCCTCAAGGAAGGACCTTGTAGACTTGGAGTGGGGACCAAATTTCAAACAGGAAATTCTAATATGTGGAGCAGATAAGCTTGCTTCTCTTTGTTGTTTTCACTACAGGTATTTAGAGTTCACTTTCCACTACTAAATCAAACTGTTCACCATTCCCTCATTCAGTTTCCATCTTCTGCAAATTTGCTTAAATTTGCGGTCTATTTTCACTTGTACTTTTCTTCTGTCCCTGAGGGCCTATGTGGCTTGTCTTCTTGTTTTTTTCTTAGGAACCTTGTACAGCATGGCCCTGTGTTATCCTCCTGGAAAAATAAACCACTAAACGATCCTTCCCTGTGCTAAGTGCTAGAGTAGGAGGAAAGACACAAGCCAACTCCCTGAGCTGTAGCCTTATTTTCAGGAGGTAAGCTAGGAATGTCCAGAACTTGCAAACAATTTACATTTCTTTCTGCTGAGGTAGTTCAGAATAAGTTAGAACACACAATGAACAGGAATGATGCAGTAAATAAAATAGTGATTTAGGGTTATTTTAAATAACTATTCATTATTTTCTAGGTTGTAAATCCTAAGGGTGTTGGCAGATTATCTTGGCGAAGATATATCTCACCAAATGATCGACTTCCTAATTATTAGAGATACATTTGCCCAGGCAAGCACCTAGACCAAAATGATTAGATTAATTCCCCAAGAGTCTTTTATTCCCCCTGCCACCTTCACTTGTTAACACTACTAATAGAGGAATGATTGCAGACAGAGGGAAAACCACATTTATTACCAAGCAAAAAATGTTTGGGAGTCTTAAGGCTGTGAAATTATCTGCCTGTAAACATCTAGACAAATATTTTTGTCTGGAGAGGTGGCCTTTTTGTCTGGAGGGGTGGACCTCTTGTGTTTTAAGGTAATGTCCTTTTCAAAATGTGGCCCTGATTTATGCAGATCTGACAATGCTTATATTGACCAGAAAGAGAATGTGAGATATGAATGCACTATGGCTTTGTTTTCTATTGGTCTTTTGTTTTCATTTCTGTCATGGTACATGTCTGTGGCAAGTCTAGATTGTTTGGCCAGCCTCCGAAGGAAGCACACAGCAGCTACTGGAGGGCGACATTGAAATAGTAGATGAGTGACAGAGAAAATATGAGCGGCGTCCATTCAGGGAGGTGATTTGTGGCCCTGTGATAAAATGTGCAATATTAATTGCTCTTTGCTTTCTCACGCATGATTGCTTTGTTGCCATACCTGCCTGTGTGTGCCTGCAGAGAGTACAGAACAGATGCTACAGATAGGAGGTAGGCAGAGGGTGTAGTGTGAGAACAAAGACACTGGGAATGGGCAAGTGACAGATAGAGGGAGAGCAGGTGGCAAGTCTGGGCAGAGGAAAGGAGCAATGTTCAGGCTAGAAGGGCAAAATTCAGGGCTTGAGAATAGTACAAAGCCCCAAAGGAAAGGCTATGAACCTGGCATGGCATTTCTCTGTCTTCCACCCTGCACATGGAGAAATCATTTCACCTATTCTGAAGTTTCCAGTGCCTGACCAGGAATTCCATTTGGGATGGAAAAGTCAGAATTCTTTTTCTAAAATTTTTTTTTGAGTTGGAGTCTCACTCTGTCGCCCAGACTGGAGTGCAGTGGCCGCTCCTGGCCACCGCAGCTCGACCTGCTGGGCTCCGGCGATCCTTCCACCTCAGCCTTCAAGTAGCTGGAACTATAGGAGCACGCTACCACACCTGGCTAATTTTTGATTTATTGTAGAGATGAGGTCTCACCAAGTTGCCCAGGCCAGAATTCTTTCTTACCCTCCAACTGATTTGCTTATGACAATTTCCATATGGAGATGGCATGTCATGTCTGGCGCAGAGTGAATGGATCGCTTAGGGAGAGAGAAGGTCCAGAATCCAGCCCTGGGCTACTCAAAATTTAGTTGTCTAGAGACCCTGAGGAGCCTGCAAAGAGTACCTCATGGGAGAAAACACAGAGAAATTGGAGAATAATTAGCAAAGAATGGACTCAAGAAAGTCAAAAGAGGAGAGTTTCAAGGAGAGGATTGTGGACTAAGGAGAAATAGAATCACATGTAGAGAGATGTGTCTATTGGACACATCATGGAGCAGCCTCATTGGTGTGATTTGGAAGGAAGTCAGTTTAAAATGGGTTTGTTTATTAACGAATTCTTTGTTCACACCTACTTCTTTGAGCACCTAATATATACCAGACATTACTCTGGGTGTTGGAAGATTCATTGGTGCCAAATCAGACACGATCCCTTAGCTTTATAGTGACTTATGGTGGAAGGCAATTTTCCAATCATGTTCTTCCAAGCTCCTGGACATCTAGCCAAACCATAGGCTACAACCCACGAAGTAGTACACAATCAAGTAGTATCCATTTCTTCTTCTAAGCAATGAGTAACCAGGTACCCTGTTCAGATTTCTGCCCACTGGGAAAATTCCTTTCACCACTGTCCTTCTGGGATGTACCAGTGGGCCTCTAGGGCTGCAGTTGTCCACGTTTCCATAGTGCCTGTGTATCAGGCAGAACCATCTGTAACTCAGACCCAGGACTTCCCTTTTGTCATCTGATCATAGGGAACTCCTATGAGGTCAGGTGTGCAGGTTGGGAGAGAGAAGGTCATGCAGCAGGTGTGGGGGCCATAGGCATTTGGGCCATTTCTTCATATAAGTTATGCCTTCAGGATCTTCTTGGGCCCTATCACATATATATTGCCTCCATTTAATGATGGAGTACTGTTGTGCATGCCCAACTTTATGGCTTGATGGGCTGGATACCATCCAGTTCATGAAGCAACTCAGGTTGCATGGGAAGTTAGTGGCTCATGGTTAAGCCTCTTGTCTTCACTATGACCCAGTAGCAGGCCAAGAGCTGTTTCTCAAAAGGAGAGCCACCATCCACAGAGGATGGCAGACTTACACTCCAGCATCCCACGGGCCTGCGTGGCAATTCACCTACTGGTGCCTGCAAAAGGCTTTGCCTCTGACACTTGAAGCACAATTTGGTCTGCTGGATCTTATGGACTGAGTTCCAGAGTAGCTGGTGTGGCAGCCTGGATCTGTTGCAGAGCCTTATTTCATTCTGGGCCCGACTCACAACCAGCTGTCTTGTGGGTTACTCAGCAAATGGGCCAGAGTAACAGTTAACTGAAGAGTATGTTGCCATCAAAAGTCAAAGAGGCTTGTGAGGTGTTTTACCTTTTTTTTTTGGTTTCAGGATGGGCCAGAGACAACAACTTATTCCTCACCCCAGGAGGCATATCTGAACATGCCCCACACCGCTGGAACTCTAGGA